AGACCCAAGAGTGAAGGAACTCACCCTTGAAGTCAACAGGTTAGTATGCGAACACAAGCGGAAAAAGTGGCTAGACCACCTGAAGCTCTGCAACATTGGAGCCGCAACAAGTAAATTGTGGGCAACGGTTAAGTCACTCTCGAATCCTGGAAGGAAGGATGATAGAACGGCTGTCACGTTTAACGACGTAACGTTGACTGATCCGAAGAGGTGCGCGAGTTTTTTTAACCGGCAGTTTATTGAGCACCCCGAGAGTGACATGGCGAAAAGGAGTGTGCTTCGTCGCATTAGAGCCCTCCGAGCCGAGGAGGTACCACCACAATTTTCGAAGGATGATGTTGCAGATGCCATTCGAAACGCTAAATCATCCAAAGCGTTGGGCCCGGATGGAATCTCAATGATAATGCTGAAGCAACTGGATGAACCTGGAGTGGAGTATTTAACTGCTGTTCTCAACCTGTCGGTAGCCACCCACATTGTTCCTGAAGCCTGGAAAATAGGCAGGGTGGTCCCGCTACTGAAGCCAGGCAAGGATGCCAGCAGAGGTGAATCGTACAGGCCGATTTCCCTTCTGTCTCCAGTAGCAAAGACGCTTGAGTCACTACTCCTCCCTCTGATGAGAAGCAGGTTTCCAGTCCCTCAACATCAGCATGGATTCCGAAGAATGCATAGTACGACCACAGCATTACACGCCATAACCACACATGTAAGTAGAGGACTTAACCAGAACAGGCCGTGTGACAGAACAGTCTTGGTGGCTCTTGATTTATCGAAAGCCTTCGATACTGTCAATCACGCCAAGCTGTTCGAGGACATAGAGAAGACCAACCTCCGGCCTAGTTTGAAACGTTGGATAATCAATTACATGTGTGGTCGCCAGTCATATGTGGAATTCAGAAACAAGAAGTCTAAACCCCGTAGAGTGAAACAGGGAGTTCCCCAAGGTGGGGTCATATCTCCGGAACTGTTTAACCTCTACCTTTCTGAAATTCCACAACCACCGGACGGCATTGAGATCGTAATGTACGCGGATGATTGTACGATCATGGCGTCGGGGCCTATTATCGATGACATTTGTGAAAGGTTAAATGTCTACATAGCTGATTTAGTACAGTTCTTCCATCTGAGGAATATGAAGATATCCGCCGCCAAATCCACAGCCACACTGTTCACCACATGGACGGCTGAAATGAAGCTCCCTCTGAACGTCATGGTCGATGGTGTAATAATTCCGACCACTAATTACCCAAAAATTTTGGGAGTAACGTTCGATAGCTTATTTAAGTCGTCCGCGCAAGCCACCGCTATTTGCGATAAGATGAGAAGTAGGAACAAGGTCCTCAAGTCGCTTGCCGGCAGCTCTTGGGGTGCTGATAAAGAGACCTTGTTGACCTCTTACAAAGCAATAGGTCGGTCGGTGGTAAGCTATGCGGCGCCAGTGTGGTATGCGAATGTAAGCGATACGCAGTGGAAGAACATACAAACCTGCCAGAATGCCGCCCTGAGAACTGCGACAGGGTGCCTCCTTATGACGCCAGTGGACCATTTACATGAGGAGGCAATGGTCTTACCCGTACATCGGCACAACAGGATGTTGTCGATGCAGTACCTGCTTGGGTGTTATCGCAGGAATCATCCATGCCATAATCTTATGGAAACCCAGGCACGTAAGGAGAGACCTACATGATCTAGAGAGAGAGGTCCAACGGTATAAGAGAGAACCCCTAGATCTTGAGGCTTATCGAGCAGGAATTACCAACATTCACACGGAAGCAGTGACCCAGGCAATGGACCAATACCGTGTGAATGCTGTACTTGGAGTCCACCCACCACCTATAGCAGCAGAAGAACGTGAGCTGCCTAGACAAACGAGAGTGGTTTTAGCCCAACTAAGATCAGGATGGTGCAGCCGCCTCAATTCGTATTGGGCCCGAATTGACAGCGCGGTTCCAAACACATGCCCTGCATGTGGATTTGGACCCCATGATACGCTGCATCTCTTTAACTGCCCTGCTAAACCCACTCATCTGTCTCCGGAATCTCTTTGGACGCAGCCGCTACAGGTTGCAACCTTCCTGAACCTGGAAACAGAGGAGTCAGAACCAGATTAATACAACAAACATGAAGATAGTTGCTACAACAACAACAACATATCATCCTGCATAAACATAGCCGTAATCATAGTCCTCCACCTACAACACAACACTACAACCTTATCACAGTCATCATTAATTATCATTAACCTTGCTGTAATGACTATTATGTACATTCCCAGGCTCACACATACACCTACACACACTATCCCACATTTACTACTACTATGAAGGTTCCAAAGATAAAGTGCTCCTCTGCCTTGATGTGTCATCGAGAAGTGGAAGTTTTAATGAAAAGTTTTTTCCCTCTTCGCCTGTTTTTTTTCGGAATTGCTGTTGTGTGTCATAGGGAGCAGCAACATCAGCAGGAGCAACAGTGCATGATTGCATGACGTTGATGATGTCTCCTAATTACATCTGACAACAAAATGTCGACAATATGTGACCAGAAATTATTGCTCCAAGAAACTTGATCAAATAGGGCACATTACATATACGCAGATGCACACACACATATTTATAATACGTGATGGGTGAGAAGAATGGTTGGGTTGTAGCACAGATAATGATGATGAAAGTTTTGATGATATCCATGTAATGTGAGATACTTAAGACCAGCTTCAAATTAAAATTTTAAATTGACTTTAGACCAAAGTTTTTGGAGAGTTGGTCTACAACAACAACAAAAAATGATGACATAATTTAGTGAAATTAAAATCCGCTGAACTTGTATGGAATATAGTAGACGATCAGGTAATGAGTAGGATGAGTTTATATTAATAAGACAGACTTTTTAAAATGATTCTTTTTAAATTTGTTATTATGGGACCTTAGACATTTTTTTAAATCCATGCTTGCTGGACTACGCTACTATGGTGGGGGCTTTTAAAAGGTATTTAAAAAATTCACGATTCGATGGACGTTTAAAAAATATTTTTAAAAAATTTTCGAAATGATGGACGTTCAGAAAATTATTTTTAAAAACTTTTCGAATCGATGGACGTTTAAACACATATTTTTAAAAAATCCACGCTTGGTTGAATCTATTAAAAATTCTTTTTAAAAAATCCACACTTAGTTGTATCTATTAAAAATTATTTTTAAATCAGTAAGGAAAGATCAAAAGTCGGACGGGGCCGAGTATATGATACCCTTCACCACTTTGGGTACACACGAGAGATGTTAGTATATACAATATCCAGCAGATTGAACAGGCATAGAATCATGGGATTAAAATTGAGATGGAATCGGGCGAAATTAAATGTGCTATCTAAATAGATATTGGACCAATTGAAAAAACCCCATACACATACGATTCTGAAATCAATGAAAAATTGCATGCCAAACGAGCAGAGTTGGACCACTTGAATGAAATCGAGTAAAATTATGTATGGGAGCTATATACAAATACATGCATCTAACTGAGCAACCATTGCATACATCATTTGTCTTTTGTTATCACTCTATATTCAATTTAATACTCTCTGCCAAATTTCCTGTAAATCGAACAAACATCGTCCCTTCGGTGTGCACCATTAACATAAAATCGAACGAAAATATATATAAGACCTATATCAAAATCTGAACCGATTTGAACAAACCTTATCACACATCATTTTTTTCCTCAATTGCATTCGCTATGGAAAATTTTGCTCAATCGGACAAATATTGGAAGTTTGGTGCATCATTCACAAAAAATCGGACGAAACTTATATGGGAGCCATATCTAAATCTGAACCGATTTTAACAGAACTTCGCAGACATCATTCTGGGCCAAATTCAGTATTCTGTGCAAAATTTTGTTTCAATCGGACAAATATAGGGAGTTTGGTGCATCATTCACATAAAATCGGACGTAACTATATATACTATATATGGGAGCAATATCTAAATCTGAACCGATTTCTACAAAACTTCGCATACATAAGTATGGATCTGATTCAGTGCGCTGTGCTAAATTTTGTGCCAATCGAATAAGTATTGGGAGTTTGGTGCATCATTTACCTAAAATCGGACGAAACTATACATGGGAGCTATATTTAAATCTGAACCGATTTTATCCAATTTCAATAGGGCACGTCCTTGGGCCACATAAATGAACAGTGCCAAATTTCATCCGATTCGAATCATAAATGCGACCTGTACATTGTTTACAAAAATACATGGACGGACGGACATGCGTAAATCGACTCAGAAATTGATTCTATGCATATTCTCAAAAGGAAGCATGGGTCTATCTTGATTCTATTTGCCTGTTACAAACATATGCACTAAGACATAATACCCTGTACCACAGTGTGGTGAAGGGTATACAAATCAACGCTTGGTTGAATCTATTATAAAATTATTTTTAAAATATTCACGATTGGTTCAATATATTAAAAATTACTTTAAAAAAGTCCAAGTCCAATCAACGCAAAATTTAAACATACCTCGTATGTATTTCCATATGACAATTCACTTCAAATTTATTATTTTTTATTTTAGGCATTATTTGAAAATCAACAGGAATTTTGTAAATAAATTGAAATCTTCTTAAAATCGAAGAATATGTGCCCAGAAGTTAAGGAAAACGTACTCCATCTAACAGGAAAGCAATGTCGGGAGCTATTGTACATGCGAATGAGAAAGGTATTTTGAAATTTAATATTTTCTTAATATGAAGTCCCATACAAAAATGTCCCCTAGCCAAAGCGAGTCGTACCGGCATTTACCTATCAAGCATTGCAAAGTAATACGGTGGTGGAGCCACCAAAAAAGTAAGTCATTCAATTTTTTCCTTACATTAATAAAAATGATTTCTTCAATTTCAGAATAGATCTTTTCAAGAAACGACCCATAAAGGAGACTTTCTTTAATATCTATCTCAGACGTGGTGATATACCTGTGGCACGTTCTGGCAAAGTAATGCGTAAGAAAAATGTCACTGAATTTCCGGTCAAATGGTTTTGTGCACCACAGGATTTAGATTATTGCTATTATTTACCAATATTTGTGGATGGGCAAGTAGAACCACATCAAAGAAAATTCATAAGGAAATTAACGTTTTTTTATTACTAGATTATCTGACAGTGACATAGAAATACGTCAATTGGCCCAATATGGTGCAATGGATATGATTGTAAAGGCTCCACATAAGGTTTTACCGGTATTACCGAAAATGATTTTACCTTTTAAACGAGCATTCAATACCCGGGACAAGAAAATTATTATTGCAGCTCTGAAAGTATTGCAAATGATGGTGTTGATGGGTAAGCACCAAATATGTCCACTATTTTCATTAATAATAAATTTAGGTATATTATTTAAATAATAAATTCATTTCAGCACCTTGTGTGGGTCAGGCTTTGGTACCCTACTATCGCCAGTTGTTGGCCGTTTGTAATGTGTATAAAAATTTAAATGTGAATTTAGGAAATTTCATTGATCCAGATCGTGAACGACGCATTGCTGATGTTATTGAGGATACTTTGAATGCATTGGAAAAATGTGGTGGTCCGAATGCTTTTATCAATATTAAGTATATGATACCAACATATGAGAGTTGTGTTTATCCCCTCTGTGAATTTGGTGGAGATAATGCTACAGCTGAAAATAACCATGTAAAGAAATATTGAATTGTTACATGTTCGTTGAATATATATTATAAATAAATTCATTCATTTTGTTAAAAAATATATTATTTTTCATTAGAAAATGAAATGATTGAATGGGGCGAACTCGTTAGTCTCGTTTCTACAAATCCGTTCGCAAGATTTGAAGACACGTCGACATTGACCAATATATGTTGAAATTATTATAAAAATGTTAACTATAAAACGATTTAAGGTAAATGTGGGTACGTCTACTTGCAGATGTGTGAGAATTTGGAGTTAATTTAGACATGTCTGTATGGCTGATGAACAATAAAATTCTCGAAGGGAGTAACCAATAGGAAGATGAGAATTTCGAACTAAATAATTTTTGTAAAGAAAATAGAATTTGAAACACTAGAAAGCCTGCTGGACCTCGAAATTCTTTTTATCTAGAAAAGATCAGCAAATCACAATATGTTTTTTCAAAGACAAATCAGTGGATACTGTCTTATATGAGGGGGTCGGAGACATTGAGAGAAATATGTATAACTCAAGCTTAGCCTTGACTACGTTCCTTGATATTAAAAGAACCTTCAAAAATGTGAAACTGTAATCCATCTATATTGTAATCGAATTGATGGAATGCTGATAATTAAAATAACTAATTCGTATAAAACTCGATCCAAGCAAATGTTCGTAGAGTCAACGGCATAATACCAGAAATGGTACTCTTCACTAGGAAACCCAAACATCCACCTTCGCTCTCTATAAATTGTGTTACTCAAGCTGCATTCAACATATTCCTAAATCTATAGCCACTCATAGAAAAGCCTAATTTTTAGATAATGATAACCACGTTAGTGACAACATATCTCCTTACTTTGATCTCAATGTCTTAAATATAATTATTTCGAATAAGGAATTCTGGACAAGGGCTCTTTACATCTGGCAGACTTTTCATTATATACCTATGGCTTCAAGTGGTACTTGTGCAAGTGTTAACTGTGAGGCATTATAAAAATCACGATTTTTGTGGCATTTTTCAGGCAGAAATATTACCGGTAAAATAATTTAATTAAAATTATCTGGGACCACCATATATAGCCAATCAGTCCTTATGGCAAGCAAGTAACAATACTATAAAAAGCGGTTCATAACTGTAAAGTTTTTCAACATGACTTACGACGAGTCGTAAAAATTGTTGAGTTCCAGGACATAGTAAAATAAATGGGAATGATATAGCTGACGAACTCACTAGAGTGGGGTCACAGTTATACATTATGATATCCTAACAATCTTCTCCGAAATAGACCGTAAAATCTTCTGCAAGAGGAGCGGAGATATTCTGAGGAGCTTGGTATTAGAACATCGCGAAATACAACTTACTCATTACTGTCACTAATGAAAAATAAGATCAAGATCACTGTAGAGATCGTAAAAGGTTAATGCAGGGTCAAACTCCTATCATCCATTTGGGACATTAACGGTAGATTAATACCGTTGATGTGAGGATGAGGAAGTGTTGAAAACATGTAGATGATTAGCGCTATCGAGATACATACCAATATAGCGGCAGTTATAAGCCAACTTTTATATTACATTTACATACATATTTTCAAGAATATATGTGATATATAAATACCTTTTTTCGACGGGATGTTCTCCGAAGCTTTTTACACAATTTCCCGTACATCGTTTACGTTATGATTGTATGCACAATATTGAACAAGACTAAACACTCGCGACGATACAAAGCTATTCACAAATGAAAATCGATGATCAACTTATACATTTACCACACTTGTTTTGAACTGCTGTCCCAATTACATTCTGCAATATAAAAATATTTCAATTAGACTTTATTGCAGGGATATATGAATACTTACAAATCCCTGCTTTAAAACTTGCATCCGGGCAGCCCATCCAAACTTGCAACAGTAAGAAATTTATTGCAACTCATGCACTTTCCCACACATTTTCACACGTTTAAACAAAGTATAAACTTGTAAACTTTTATATCAAAAACGCGGAAGTTATTCAATTACAAATATTTTTTTAATTATAAACCGAAGTTTACAACAAATTAATAAAACGAATTAAGGAAAACGCAGATTGTCTACCGTTACCGCTCATAATAACACCGGGTTGTATTTCCAAAAGGAGTGGAGAGATAATCTATTACAATTGACACTTATGAAATGCATCAGCTGTTTCCCGCATACGAATGAAATATACTAAAGGTGTAGTTACACGATATATACGGACATAACCATGGTACTATAACAAGACATACCTGCTGATTAAATTTTTCCTTTTGTGTGCCCCTGTTCTGTCAAAACAATAACTCAATTTATATATGTGTCTTAAAAAGGACAGATTCGAATTTTTACAAATTCAGATGTAACATTACAGCATTCGAGAGTAAAATCTTTCAATGTTTTGGGAAGAAATATTATTATAATATAATTAAGCCCATATTGTGAAAAACATTAAGTTTTTGCGATATTTTCCTTATTTAATAACATTGTAAAAATGTCAAAAAAAAATCTTTTGAATATGTAAATAGGACAATATAAGACATTAGACTAGATTACAGTTTTTCTTAATTTTGTGAAGTAATCCAATTTTTTTTTTTTTTTTGTACTTAAAGTTGACCTTGGAATGTTGTCGAGTATACTCCGAAGGTTTCTTGGCCGCTATAAAATCCTACCTCTTGTTGTTCGGATGTTATGGCTTCCAATTTTTCCACCAAAATCCTCCACAAGTTCTCTACGAATTCAAATCCGAAAACTAAGGAGGTATTATAATTACTCTTAGACAATTATAAAGTGTCAATTCTGGAAAAGCCATTTTCTTAAGAATTGGGCAATAAAATAGAAAAATTTAAAGACTTCGCATAGAAGATCTAAAGGTATTCTCACAGAAGAATGGGAGACTTTCTAATAGAAAAACTAAAGACCTTCTAATAGATGAGCAGAGGGTCTTCTCATAAATGAGCTCCAAGTAGAGCGGAAGGTATTCTTCTAAAATAGCTGATAGCTATTTTAAAAGAGCTGCAGGTCTTCTTCGAAAAGGCATTCTTCTAAAATAGCTGAAGCTATTCTAAAAAATGAGTTAAAGGTATTCTTCAAGAAGTGATGAAGTTCTTCTTCTTCTATTTTAAAATAGTTGAAGGTGTTATCCTTCTAGATTAGAATTTCCATTATTGTCCATTTGTTGTGTGTCGTCCCATGGTCTCAAAGTCTCACTATGATACGATACTAATACCATAGACAGACGACAGCTTTAATTTGCATTAAAAAGTTCTTAATTTGAATTAAAATTTACCCCTGACAGGCGAGAGTTTCTTCATTTATGAACCAGTTTTTTGTTTCAAAACAATTGTTTGTCTGTGGGTAGGAAGAAAATATTGACATTTGTTTACAATATTTTTTAGGATTACATCTTTTTGAAATTGATACATGGCAGGAAGCAAAACTAACAGCTATAATGAAGATAAAACAGCTCCAAATTTGAAGAAATGTTAAATTTTGCCTTTATTTCTTTCTATTATTTACCAATATTTGTGGATGGGCAAGTAGAACCACATCAAAGAAAATTCATAAGGAAATTAACGTTTTTTTATTACTAGACTAGCAAAGTGCCCGCTACTTCGTATGCGGAAAGGGAATACAAAAACATATTTCATATGGAAATCGTGAATACTGTATAATTTGTTGTACTATAGTTCCAAATTCCACCTCTATTTCTACATCTAATATCATGTTTATTACCATTTAGTACTCTTCACATACATAAGCACTATTTTCCGAAATCCATTTTTTTTTTATTTTATTACACAGATTAAAACCAAAAAAAAAATACATATGGGAGCTATATCTAAATCTGAACCGATTTCCACGAAACTTGACACACATCATTTAGAACAAAAAATTAAGTTTTCGGTCCACTTCATGCCAAAATGGTTATCTGATCATCACCGAAAATTAAAGGCATTGTCCATGACCATAACTGGAACCTCATACAAAATTTCAAAGCGATCAAGGCTATATTTCCGCCATCTAATGGGTTACTGAATAATACCTGAATACGTAAAGCACCTGCAAATTTTTGAGTGTAACTCCCATATCCGAGCAGATACATCACTATATTTGGTATCTATTTAAAGGTCAACCACCCTGGGATGTACTATCAAATGCCTTTTTAGACCACAGAAAATTAAAATGCGTTTTCTAGGCGTTAGAAGCGTTTAAAGGCCTTAAAATGCCTTTTTAGACCACAGAAAATTAAAATGCGTTTTCCTTTTTAGACCACAGAAAATTAAAATGCGTTTTCTAGGCGTTAGAAGCGTTTAAAGGCCTTAAAATGCCTTTTTAGACCACAGAAAATTAAAATGCGTTTTCTAGGCGTTAGAAGCGTTTAAAGGCCTTAAAATGCCTTTTTAGACCACAGAAAATTTTAAATGCCTTAAAATGCCTTTTTAGACCACAGAAAATTAAAATGCGTTTTCTAGGCGCCTAGACCACAGAAAATTAAAATGCGTTTTCTAGGCGTTAGAAGCGTTTAAAGGCCTTAAAATGCCTTTTTAGACCACAGAAAATTAAAATGCGTTTTCTAGGCGTTAAAGCGTTTAAAGACCTTAAAATGCCTTTTTAGACCACAGAAAATTAAAATGCGTTTTCTAGGCGTTAGAAGCGTTTAAAGGCCTTAAAATGCCTTTTTAGACCACAGAAAATTAAAATGCGTTTTCTAGGCGTTAGAAGCGTTTAAAGGCCTTAAAATGCCTTTTTAACCACAGAAAATTAAAATGCGTTTTCTAGGCGTTAGAAGCGTTTAAAGGCCTTAAAATGCCTTTTTAGACCACAGAAAATTAAAATGCGTTTTCTAGGCGTTAGAAGCGTTTAAAGGCCTTAAAATGCCTTTTTAGACCACAGAAAAGTAAAATGCGTTTTCTAGGCGTTAGAAGCGTTTAAATGC